ATATATATATATACACACCCACACCTACAATATACACACACAAAACTAATTTTAAATGGCCATCAATGTAAAAACAAATGCTTTTTGCAGCCAAATAGTGTAGAGGCTAACATAACATTCCAAACCTTTTAATGAACACTTCAGTAAAAACATTAACGCATGAAGGTACAAGCCTCTCCGCTCGGCACGTAAAAGTGGAGGAAAATTTCCCAAAATTGGCAACTACCACCACTAACGAATCACATAGCCATTACACTGCTCTTGCCCTGCCCACTGGAACTTTGTTCTGACACGCCAGCCAACAGAACGACTGTTGCCTCTGGCTCACAACTGGAAGGGCTAAAGGTAAACAAAGTTATGTAATGATCAACTTGCTAATCTCGTTTCAGTGAGCCCTACCAAATTACTCCATTACACACTAGCAGTCATTACACACACTCATGAGGTGTCCGTGCACATTCCAGAGATAAAGCTGTTTTGTAGGTGTGCTGTCTTGTAAGAGCACTAAATAAGGTTCCTGAGAATCCTGGATTCCACATGCAATACCCAAGATATACAGGTAATAAAAGTATATATGTATAAGTAAGTATATAAGTAAGTATACTCTAAAAAAAATAAAGGTTCTTAATTGGCATTGATGTTTCCATGAAGAACCTTTGACATCTTTGGAAACTTTCTATTGCACAAAATTTTCTTTCTTTATAGTGGAAAAATGTTCTTTAGATTTTTTCAAATGGTCTCCTTACATTGGTTCTTTTAAGAACTAATCACTGAAACGCTCTTTGGGGAATCAAAACTGGTTTTTCGATGGCATTTGGAACCATTATTTTTAAGTAGAAGTACATATACTTAGTTTTTGATATTTCAAAGAAATTAAATTCACATTTTCACTTGCAGTGATGTGATCCAAAATGTAGATGCGTCTACAAAGTGCATCTGTCTACAGTTACTCATTCAGTCAACAGCTGGGCTGTTTGTCTTAACGCTGATGAATTGACTGTGCATCAGAACTGATATGCAAGCAGTGTCTTATTTCAGTGTTTCCTCTTGACCCTGGATCAGTGGACTTCCCTCAGTCTGTAATCCACAGTCACTCCACGGACAGCAACACTGAGACAAATTGCAAGCCCATTGTTGGCTAATCCAGGATTAGTGGCACTTTTTCAAAATTTCCCGGGCCTCGATAATAACAAATTGCAGAGAAAATGTCAGTCTTATCTAGAGGCAAGGCATCCCCCTTCACATAAAAAAAATAAAACAGGTTGAGAATGAGGCCAAATGTCTCAGTATGTGACATGAAATTGAAATCGCTCTGATCTGTTCTAGATATAGGGCAGAGGTTTGAGATAAATTGCTTAAAATCGCCTCCAAAGGAGGAAGAGAGACATGAGCTGTCAAGTGCACAAAATGAATGACAGTTTAGGTCGAGACATCAGTTTATCGGTTATCAAGGGCTCACATAGAATGTGTTTTGAAAAGAAATTAAGCATGTTGAGTGAACTTTTGATTCTTAATCATTAATGTAATATTTCAAGCCACATTTACAAATTAAGGAAAGTCAGTTTTGATGCAAAAATCCAACTAAAGGCTTCAAATCCTGCATGTCCTTCAAACGCCATGGGGTTTTAGCTTTTGCTTTATTACACATACAGTCTACCTCAATTCAGCTTGATGTGCGCAAAACTTTTCCTCACATTTCTACTATTCACACAGGTTGAACAGTCCAAATAAAAAATAAAAAAACTAACCTATTCGTCATCATCATTTACCTTGTCTAAAAAAACGGGACATTTTTACAGTAATCGTACATCCTAATAACGCATTGAACCAAGGCAAATGGCCCATCTGGTCATCGATTTTACATCAAGCATAATTCTCTCTTTACGCACTGGCATACTGTCGAAACCCCTCCAGTTTCCATGGTTACTTCACAAAAACACTCTAATGCACATGTGCAGTGCGAACTGCTGCACTATGGCTGCAAAGCATCACTGCCAATGAATGTGTGGAAGAGCCATTCTTCTTGGCATAAAAGTCCTGGATCTTACAGGAACAGGTAACATGTATGCACTTGTTAAAGACACCCCATTCCCATCACTACACATCACAGTTTGTCATTTCCCTGTAAAACGTCCTTTGTCTGAGACTACAATAGAAATCCCCTCACTTGGTACAGGAATTGATTTATTCCTGGTGTTTTCTGCATACAGGTGCTCAGTGCTGTATGTGGGTGTCAGGTGTGGGTGGTAACGGCTTGACGGTTATTGAAACATCCATAACAACAATTTGAGGAAAGACACAAAGGAAAGCACCATGGAAACATTTAATATTTTCTTTCGCTTTCCCATAGCCAAGGAAATAACCAAGCACCACCCTGTTTGAAGATATTCCTCATGCAGTCAGTTCTTCATTTAGTGATTGGATCTGTTTTTGACAAATGTGAAAGCATTTTGTTTTATGACATTATTTGTGACCTTTTGATGTGACCTTTTAAATGTTGTGAGTGCTCAATGAAACTCACGTTTTACGACTAGCTTTGACTGCCTTTCTAGAATACTGTGGAATACTGTCATGCCACATTTCGGTGAAATAAAGAGGGTATGAAATGAAATTTCCTCAGTTTAAAAAAAAACATAACTTTGTTTAATTGAATTAATATGTCATGGCATAAAAATGACTTTATGGATGTAAAGATTATGCCTACAATCACATAGTTAATGTTTGGTGTGAAACTCAAATTGTGTTGTTCATATGGCCCAAATACTGTCTGTATGAACTAATTATTTTCGTAATAGCAGTGACTAACATCTGTAACCATATGGGATAGTGACTAAAGTAAATTGCAGAAGTGCTACCGCATTATATGATGTAACAGACAACTAGTTGTCAAGTGTGATTCCGTTTACACAGCCCAGGTTTCTGAAAATGCAGCTGTGGTTCCATTCTGGTTCGACACACACCCACTTTTCACAATTTAATCAATTTAAATTTAAATAAAATTAATGCCCTGCAATTTTTTCTTGTTGAACATAATAATTTACTCCAAAATACACCACATTCCCAAAGTAAAATGTTTTGTCCTTTTTTTATATTGATTTTATGAAGTTAAATTGTTTTTAACTTAATATGTCATCTTAAAAACATTTTGTGGCATGACATAAAAAGACAAAAAACTACAATATGTGACAAAACGGCCAACAATTTAAAAATCTTGTATAAAAGTTATGGAGTAATTCATTAGCAGACCTAGCATTATCGTGATATGGCGATACATTTTCATTAAAAATAACAGCGATTCACGATGTAATTGTTTATGTCACTTTCTTTGTAAACATACGAACACATACGAAAAAGTAATTTATTCACATTATACTTGGAGTCATACAATAAAATGTACGTCTCCTTTAAATATTCATAAACAAATATGGCGCTGATAATAAACATTTTAACACGTTTACAAATGTTTGAAATATTTTCAGTCCACTTTAATCCAATTTAAGTTTGGATTACATATATCAACATAATACTGATTATTAACCTACTATTTAAATTTTATGCAGTTGTAATTCATGTCTGCGCTAAATTCGTCACATTCGTGCAAACGATAACGGCTAAAAGTGTGAATATTAAAGAGAAAGTGAATTTAAAATGCAAAATAATAGCGGTTATCGCCAAAAATAGCGATCAGTTGATAATCGCGACAGGCCTTGCGAAAACGATTATTATTGTAACCCACTACTACAACCGTGTGCCGTAAACGGTCACCATAGCAACGCACTGAAACGATGTTACAGTATTCTAAAACGAACGAGTTGATCTTCAAAGAACCACCAAGAAAATCTGTCAATGGAGCATGAACGTGGGAAAATGGACTCGTCTCACCTGTGCAGTTGGCGTACCGCTTTCCTGCCACACTATCCAGCAGCGCCAGCGCTAGATTGTCTGGAGTGTCCGCGGGCAGCGGGGTCCAGTTCGTGTCCAGACTCGCCTCTGAGCTCTGCTCATCGCTGGACAGCGACGGACTCCTGATGTCCGCAGTGGCGGAAGGCCAGCACGGCGCTTCTTCGGTCTCCGGGCTGAACACCTCCCTCGCCGGGCCGCTTTCGGGAGACGTCTCCCTAAAGAACGGCACCACACGGGACAGGCTGGCCCGTCGCCTGGATGCCCCGGTGCCGGTGGCCTTCTCCCCAAATCCACCCGCCCGAGTGAGTGCATTGGTCTGCTTCTTTAAGAATTTTTCAAGAGGCTTCATTCCAGCAGGCATTTTGATGACAGAAATCGCAAGAAGGCCCTGGGTTGATCCTAATTAATACTCAATAATGAACACTGATGATGACCGTATGGACTTGAGCGTCTACATCATAGCTGGATAATGCTGGATCCCAACTCGGATTGGAAATTGCCTGAAGAAATTCTTCTCCGTTGTGTTAAGGTGTCAAGAATAAAATACGGCCATGTTCAGTGTTCACGTTACACAAGTGGATGCTGATCGAGTCCTTACTACGCTAAGAAGAAAAAAATCCAAACGTATCCCAGGGAAACCCGTCCTCCACTGCAGTCCTTCAGCTCGAGAAGAAGGCTATATGTGTACTACTACCATTGCCACTGTCAGCGAAGCCTTGATCGATGAGTTAATTTGACGAATAATTAGACAGAAAAGTTAAAATAGCAGCAGGTGTATCTTAATAATGCATATAGCCTACATATATAAATCAGTCTCTGCCAAGATGCTGGAGCATATAAATTAATCGTCTACCGAAGGTAACGGGCTCCTGTCGCAGACGAGACGCGCGACTCGATGCTGATGAGGATTTCGTGTCTATAGATCCCTGACCGGTTCAGTGGTAGGCTATCTCTATTTATTTTTCTCTCACTGTACCGAGTGTCTCTGCGCCACGAGTCCGCACAAATACTGAGCTCCGTCGCTCTCACATACAGTATAGTCTACACACTCTCTCTCTCTCTCTCTCTCTCTCTCACTCTCTCTCTCTCTCTCTCTCCACCCGCCCTCTCTGCAGCTGAGTGCGTGGCATTGGTCTGCTTCTTTAAGAATTTTTCAAGAGGCTTCATTCCAGCAGGCATTTTGATGACAGAAATCGCAAGAAGGCCCTGGGTTGATCCTAATTAATACTCAATAATGAACACTGATGATGACCGTATGGACTTGAGCGTCTACATCATAGCTGGATAATGCTGGATCCCAACTCGGATTGGAAATTGCCTGAAGAAATTCTTCTCCGTTGTGTTAAGGTGTCAAGAATAAAATACGGCCATGTTCAGTGTTCACGTTACACAAGTGGATGCTGATCGAGTCCTTACTACGCTAAGAAAAAAAAAATCCAAACGTATCCCAGGGAAACCCGTCCTCCACTGCAGTCCTTCAGCTCGAGAAGAAGGCTATATGTGTACTACTACCATTGCCACTGTCAGCGAAGCCTTGATCGATGAGTTAATTTGACGAATAATTAGACAGAAAAGTTAAAATAGCAGCAGGTGTATCTTAATAATGCATATAGCCTACATATATAAATCAGTCTCTGCCAAGATGCTGGAGCATATAAATTAATCGTCTACCGAAGGTAACGGGCTCCTGTCGCAGACGAGACGCGCGACTCGATGCTGATGAGGATTTCGTGTCTATAGATCCCTGACCGGTTCAGTGGTAGGCTATCTCTATTTATTTTTCTCTCACTGTACCGAGTGTCTCTGCGCCACGAGTCCGCACAAATACTGAGCTCCGTCGCTCTCACATACAGTATAGTCTACACACTCTCTCTCTCTCTCTCTCTCTCTCACTCTCTCTCTCTCTCTCTCTCCACCCGCCTTCTCTGCAGCTGAGTGCGTGTGTTATTGGTGGTGTCAAGAGATATTGCTCAGTTGCTTTGAATCGCAGCAACTGCAGTCACAAGCTCATATACTAACGGCGAAAAACCCACATGTGCGCCAAAGACTGAGCATTTGAATACGCTTTTCCATTTGTTTTAATCATCCGGGTCAAAATGTGACACTAGTATCGAAATATTGAAGAATTGTTCAACTATTCACTTTATTGCTGGCAATCGGTATCTCTTAACAATACCACTTATACACCACTTTATTTGTGCTATGTGTCTCAAACTTAGATATAATATTGCAATATTTATATGCAACAGTTTAAATTAGTTAAAAAGCTACTACTTACCCCTAAACAGTTTCAATTAATATTAAGTACAAAGAATGCCCGCTGTACCTGCTGAACCTATAGGTTGTAAGCTAATGAAAACGTAAACTATGGTATTTAAAATATGGTTATTTTATTGGCATCTGTGGTTCCATTAAGAACTTTTAACACCCACTGAAGCTTTCCATTGCACAAAAGTTTCTTTATAGTGGAAAAGGTCATTTCGATTATTAAATTGGTCTTCACACTAAGAAAAAAAAAAGATATTTTTAGAACTATTCACTGAAAGGTTCTTGGGGGAATCCGAAACAGTTCTTCTATATGTGGTCAAAACCATATATTTATTTATTTTTAAAAGTGTATAGTATATTTTGTAAGGAATGACAAAGAGCATTTTTTGTGCATTTGCATTAGCTCTATATTTTAGAAATAGTGGAAATAAAAATAATACAAATAATAAGTAAAATTTAAAAAAGTAAAAAAGAAATATATTTTAGACCTTATGTCTATCTTTTAAAACATAAAACAAACTAATTTCTAAAGCATCAAAATTCATTAAGGAAGAACCTGAGACTAAAGTTCTGTATCAATTACTGTTGGCACGTGTCTTGCTCTCCTACAGTTGGCCAGCTGTATGGTTTCAAATTGCATAGCTGGAAAGCACAAAAAAGAGTTATCTCCTCCACAACCACTTCATGAACACGCTGCATTTAAGTTCCTTTAAGGCACTTATTAGGAGACACGCACAGACACCATCAGACCTCAGGCCTGGTCAAGGTACAAGTGTCTTATAGTTGTGAGCCAGTAGGGTAAGCAACTTCATTATCAGTATTAAGTTTCAATTAGCAGGCCTACATGAAACGTCTGTCAGGAAACATTATCCCAAGGCAACTATGAGGGGTAAATATGGGATCCGGTGATCACACTATGCTGGGCACTTAATTGAATACAGAACAGTGGGAAAAGAAACCAAATGTGGTTAATCGGCTTAATAGATGTATGAGGTATATGTGGTTTATAAAACACATAAAGAAACTATTGTAACAGTATGGCCTGACTTTCTGTAATAAAACTCACAAAACAAATGAAATATTGCATAAAACTAAATCTTTTGTTAGTTATCTTGTACAGCAGTAATCTCGGGATAGTATCAAAGGAATAGTTCACCGACAGATGAAATTTTGCTGAATATTTATTCATCCTCAGGCCATCCAAGATTTATATGTTTATTTTTCATCAGAACAGATTTGGAGAAATTCAGTATTACATCACTTGCTCACCAATGGATCATCTGCAGTGAATGGGTGCCGTCAGAATGAGAGTCCAAACAGCTGATAAAAACACCACAATAATCCACACGACTCCAGTCCATCAATTAATGTCTTGTGAAGCTGAAAGCTGTGTGTTTGTAAGAAGCAAATTCATTCAGGATCCGTTGTTGAGCAAGTGATGTAATGCTAAATTTCTCCAATCTCATCTACATCTTGGCAGGATTGAGAGTGAGTACATTTTCAGCAGATTTACATTTTTTTGATGAGCTATTCTTTTAAAGCATATATCTGCATTTGGTCAATCGTTTAATTTTGATGAACCCAGATGAACTCATTCAGCTGGGGTTAGATCTTCTTCCACACATCATATGTGATGACTGTGCACTGCAAAACCTCAGAATGAGTATTCCCGCCCTCTGTGACATCTCACAGACAAACGTGCTGAAGTTAGGCAGGGTGAAATGCACTTTAGCTACATCCTATATGATCCTGTTGAATTTTGAGCCATGTGTGTGACTTCACTCAGCCATGTCTGCAAGCTCAAAACTGCAGGCCGTAAAAAAACGCTGCTGGTATAAATAGCTCTGCGTCAGTAGAGGTCCTCATTATCACCATGGAAATGAGAGTGAAACCATGCTGCAGAGAAGTGGAAATCACACATCGGGTAAACCACTGCAGTCATCCCTAACAAACACACTCATTCTCTCCAACTTTATACACTTATCTATTCTAGTAAGTCTCCCGGTTAGTGGCTTCCCCCTGTTTATCTCACCGCAGGTCATCCCTCGTTTTATCCCACTTCTACCTCTGAGGTTTCTGTGGCCTTTTGTATGGGGAAGTACACAGCATTAGGCCCGCTGTCAGATGTGGATGTGTGTGAGTGTCAAAAGAATGACACGGTCAAGTGTTTGTCATGCCGTTTAGTCATATGAGCTTCTCTGAAGATGACTGACATAATGTTAACATGCATAGTCTTTGACTTCATCACAAGAACCCCCACAACAACATTAGACTTGCCATCAAAGTGCTGCAAATGACTATATCATGTTTTCTGTGCTCTCAACAGGAGGATTTAGGGGGTAATGAACCCTTAAATGAATTAACTCTAAAGCCAGATGAGGTCCTGCAACTGGGAATGACATGAATGGATGTCAAAATTAGGAATGCGCAGACACAGAAAATATTTATGTTATGAGCAATAACTGATTGTTATATATATATATATATGTGTGTGTGTGTGTGTGTGTGTGTGTGTGTGTGTGTAGGTTTCATGTCAAATAATTAACAGACTGAAGCTTAATTATAATATGCCA